TTGGGATTTCTCTCTCCCTCTCTCTCTGCCCCTCCCCTGTTCACATGTGAGCCTGTGCCCTCACTCACATTCTCTTTATCTCAAAAAATAAACATTAAAAAAAAAATCAACACCTCTCTCGTAAACTAGCCATGAACACTCAAAAAAAGCAGTTATGAAAAACATCATTCCCAGTGACAACAGAAACTTTAAAACACATAAGAATCAACTCAGCAATTCCTTTCTGTCTAAAACCATAAAACTCTCCTGGAGGGAGCAGGAGAAAGAGCTCTGGATAAGGAAGCAATATACCATGTTCATGGATGGCCTTTCACTCCTTCCTTCCTTCCTTCCTTCCTTCCTTCCTTCCTTCCTTCCTTCCTTTCTTTCTTTCTTTCTTTTTTAGTTTATTTATCTTGAGAGAGAGAGAGAGTGCAGAGGAGGAGCACAGATAGAGGGAGAGAGAGAGAATTCCAAACAGGCTTTGCACTGTCAGCACAGACCTCAATGCGGGGCTCAAACCCACAAACCGTGAGATCATGACCTAAACCCAAATCAAGAGTCTGATGCTTAACCGACTGAGCCACCGAGGCACCCTGATGAATTTTCACTTCTTAAAAGTTTTCCTGCCTGAGGGAACACATTGTTTCTTTCATACACACACATTCCTAGTCTGAAACCTTTTACTTCAGTGGGATTAGAATCATATAAATGGCAAAACTGAAGTTCATCCTGGGTAAGGCAAGTGTCACATATATAAAAGATATCATTTATATAATTTTATATTTGACATGGTCACACTTTTAAAATAATATTATTTCAAGAATGCAAATATCCAGTCTATAGAAGTTTACTCATGCAAAAACAGATAGATAGATAGATAGATAGAACTTAAATGGTTCCTTGTTAAAAAAAGGGGGGGGTATTTTGTTTCAACAGAACATTTTTAAAGTGCCTATCTTTGTCTCTTTTCTTTTCTTGTATGAAATTGTCCTAATTTAACTCTTTTATTGTCTATTTCAGAAGACAAATTTTTTTCACAAGAGATAATTTCAAAAGTAGTCTCCTTCCACTTTCCCTCCCTACATCAATAAAGGTAGTTATCTTACTTAACCATCTGAAAGATTCCCAACATAAGTAACTTGGGGGGTGGCGGGAGGGGGGAGATACAGTTTGGAAATATCACACTAGTCTGTTTTTGTAAGCCTGGGGGCTTATATTACAATGTACCTCTTGAAAGACATTAAGAGCAATTTCTAAGCCAGAGGAAGGGTTGATTATTCTATTCTATTCTATTTATTCTATTCTATTCTATTCTATTCTATTCTATTCTATTCTATTCTATTCTATTCTATTCTATTCTTTTTCCTGAAAAAAAGAGACAATTCTGAAGAGAATTGTGGGAAGTGTGTGAGTTAAGGATAGATTACATACAGTAATCTTGGGCCCTCCCTTAATTGTCCTAAAGCAAAACAGAAAAACCTTTACCCTCTCAGTAACTACCCTGAGAAATTCTACCACTGGGCCCTAGCCGAAGAAGGTTTTGCCATCAATTAAAATGCCAATATTTCTCTTATAAGCAACATGTTTATCATTTATGTTCATCGTTTGTTACTTACTCTTTAGGCTTTACCCTCAGAGAAAGTTTTGGTAAGGAAGAAGGGGATTAGAGAGAATTCAGGTATCCGAGGGCACCGAACACCAACTCCAACCGCCGCCCAGTTTTGGCTCCGACCCCAGGATATACCGTTCCCAGCACCTAGGAACCACACAGCTCTTGCTATAGCATGCATGTCTCTTAAATGCGCATCTAGATGTCTCACTTCCCAAATCCTCTCAAAAGATGCACTCACGGATCTCCTACGTGTCGTTATTTTTAGGTCGGCATACCGGAAGTAACATCGGCACATATCGCTGGCTCGGTGTTGCTGTTAGTAGTGGATCAAAAAGTCTATGTTTATGATTACGAAGCCAATTCCTGGAACGCATCTATAGGTATATGTGTGGTTTTCAAAAAAATTTTGTTGGCGATCATCCGAGAACAGGTTGTTGATTTTGGAAATACAAACAGTGCTGCTCCTTGGATGTCAGCCCCTGGACATCACCTTGTTCTTTAAAATTCAAATGAAAATTGGTTACACGGTGGGAACCTAGTGTTTCTGTCCAGGATCGTGGTCACGAGCCACAAAATCCCGCTCTGACTGATTGGAGTCAATGAGGGACATCAACGGGAACTGCGTGGGAGTGGATGTCAGGAAGGATCGAGGAGGGCCGAGAATGGCTTGTACGCACTTGGTGACAAGCCTGGGTGATGGGAATATTCAGTCCCACCTACTGCATGTTAGGGACAGAGAACAGGAGAGAAGGTAAGCCATATGAAGAGAGAGAAAGAAGAGAACCATCCCGTAGCATGCAAGGTGGCGAGGTCGAGAACGAAGACAAGGAAGGTACTATTCTTTGGAAAAGAAGGATGGTTGAGTACCCATTGAGATGAGAAAGAAAGAGGTCCATCAAGGTTTCTCAACCCTACTGCTGCTGACATTTAGGGCCAGGTCATTCTCTGGGGGTGGGGGGGGGCTGGCACCCTGGGCACTGTGGGGTGCAGGGCATCCCTGGCCCCACCCACCCCATGTCAGGAGCGCCCCTCCACCGATGCATCCTGACGCCCCAAATGTCCCCAGATATCACCGAGTCCAGAGCCACCGGGCTGGTAGATCGCCATCTGGCAACTCGTTCATCTTTTGCTCCACTTGCGTTACTTTTGGCAAAAGACTGTGGGCCCCACGAGACGGAACCTGGCCCAGCCAGTGTGGTACCTGCCAGGTGTTTGCTGAGCCCTGGCCGGCGAGGGGCCTGCAGCCCTGAGAGGGACCGAGAAGCACAGCAGAAGAGCCACACCTTGGCTTGGCCTCTGTCTGGCTTTTCTCGAGCGAGTTCCAGGGTGACCTCCGAGAACAAGGTGGCCGAATACACGGATCCCGGGTACGTGGGGGCCGTGCGCAGGCGCGGTGTGGACTGTACGTAACCCCGAGTGGGGCTGCGAACCTGACGGTAGTTCCAGGCCACAGAAACTGCTCTGACCAGGCTTGGGCCCATCGATTTTCACATCCAAACCAAATACAGAGCTGCCTCCAGAACATGGGCCCATCCATTCTTTACAGCACTCACTGCCCGCAGCCAAACTGCCTCCTGGCCCTCCCC